GGTGAGCTTCAGTCAATTGACTAGTCCTACGGGGTGAGCTGGAATGGGAGGACCAAGTAAGAGAGCTGGAGGGTAGAAGGAGTAATTCCTAGGGTGGGATGATTGAGAGTTTGTGTCTGTTACTGATGAAAATGGTGCCCGTCTTAGGATGAGAGGAAAGTGCATGAAGTGGAGGGTGAAAGATAATACGTTAGAGAATTGCAATTGATCCTCCCTGGGGGTTGTTAAAGCCACTGAGAGTGAGTACAGGAAAAGAGATGGAGCTGGAGACCAAGGCCAAGGTACTGTAAGTGCCATGATTTGAGGAGCCGGGATCTAGCTGTTGGTAGATGGCAGCAACCAGGAAGGATGCGGGCACCAAATTGTGATGATTTGTACTTTAAAGGGTCTGGGAGGAAGAAGGATAGTTGGCTTAGGAACAGCAAAATGGGGCAAGCAGGACATACCCTCCTCCTACACTCAAGATATGGGCCACAGGGAGACTGCGAGGGAAACACCCCAGTCTTGGGAGAGTTGCTAGGAAAGCAGCATCTTCAGGGGAAATCCTGGTTGCAGTTAGCGCATCAGAATCTTCTGGGGAACTTGTTAAAATACAGATTGCGGGCCCCATCCCCAGAATTTCTGATTTAGTAGGCCTGGGGCAGGGCCTGACAATTGGCTTTTCTAACACTCCCAGGTGGTGCTGATGCAGCTGGTCCATGGACCACACTCTGAGAACCACTGACTTCGAGCTAGAAATGTCAGAGAAGAGGTTGCAGGTATAGGGGTTTTGCTGGTGACGGACTGGATGCCAGAGGGCGGCAGGGAAGTTGTGGGAGAACAGCGGGGATGAGATAATGAATGAAAATGATCAGATGGGGCCGGAAGAAGTTAGAGCTGTGAGGTCTCCTGGGATCAGTCCTTGTCTCTGGACAGAAAGTAATCAGCGGAAGCTGTGTGGTTCAGGTCACCCAGCAGCTCTTGCTCCCATCACTTGGAATGGTGTGCAGGTCTGGAGGAAAGTGAAGGGGCTCTGCAGGGCAGCTCCCCATCCAGGGAGGTTCCATGCACACGGAGGCTGCAGAGGAGCAGCCTGCTAGGAGTGGGAGAAGATGTGACCTTCAGGCCACTGGCTTCTCCCCTGCAGAGAGGGGCTGACGCAGCAGGAGGGCAAACCTGGTGGAAGAGCATCAGGCAGCTGAGGACACAGGGCTCCAGGCGCTGGGTCAGCTGGAGCTTGGGGTGATCTAAACAAACGTTAGGTCAAAAGACAATAAGCACTTCTTTTGCATAATTAATAGCTGTTGGTGCTATTGTGTCAGGACAGGCATTGCCCATTAGTGTCCCAGACTCCTGGAGGTGCGGGTGGGAGAGGAGCTTGTTTAATCAGACTCTTCCCAATCACTTGGAGTGATTTTACTTTCAGGCACAATTGGATCCAGGTGCTCAAACCCTGTCATCTGGACTCTCTCATGCACATTCTCTTTCTCAATGATTTCAGCTGTGTTGGCTTCATTTCCAGAAAGGATCTCTCCTCCTGGTGGCAATCAATAGCTGCAAGCTTCCATCTCACCACTCAGAAAACCTAGTGGGAAGAAACCTTCTCTTTCCCAATAGTCCCACTCAAATTGGGATGATGTACCAATCCTTGAACCAATCCCTGCAGCTCATGGGACAATTGCTCTGATTTGACCTGGGTTATGTCATATTCCCTGAAAAAATGGGGGTTTTCTATCAGCTCCACCCAAGCCACATGGACTCAAATCAGAAGAAATTGGTTTTCTGAAAGAAAATTGTATGTCGTGATAAAAAGATAATAATAATAATGTTTATTGAAAAGTAATGTTTGTAAGTCACGGTACTAAGAGTTTTACATGTATTATTTTAGTTTTCACAAAGCCTGGTGAGAACAGTACTATCATTATTCCTACTTTACTCAGGTGCTAAAGTCATTCCACAGGCTTCTGTGGCTTGTGAGGGGCAGGGCAGAACCTGGAGGGAAGCCTGGACAAGGAGCAGGGACAAAGTGCCACGTGGGGGCAGGGGACTGGGAGGGAGGCTCTGATGGAGGAGGTCAGGCAGGATATCAGCAGGTGGCCCTGGGGACAGGCACATGCTCAGTGTGGGGTGAGCAGCACAGACCAAGGCATGGTAGTGCCAGACGCTGGCAGGAAGAGAAGATCAAAAACAAAGCAGTCCTGAGCCCAGAAAACTTCAAATAAGTGGCGATGGCCTTAATCGGGCTTCGCTGTGCTAAGCTGCCCCTGCCACGATCACTCACCTCCCCCTGCAAACAAGTTAAAGCTGAGGTGGCAGGAACGCGGAAGGAGAGAGAATCTGAGTCACGTGCCTTATTGGTACCTCATCGAAGTGTTTGTGGAAGCAATCATACATTTCCCATCTGCTTTTCAATTTCACTTTGTGAACCTGGATTGTTTTGTTTACAGATCCACCCTCTTTCTCCCCCATAGGGTGGAGTTGTGCGTAATTATGCTGAGCTTGAGTAGAAAACATGTGATTATGATCCCAGCTTCAGCCGTAAGGATGCTCATTTTGTTACCTCACACAACACTTTTAAGTAAGATTGCGGAATGATAAATTGAAAGGGAATTCTCTGCAGTTGTGTAGCTCGCAGGAAACATGCGCTGTTGCCTTTGCTCGTGTCCAGACAGAAACTCTTTTTGTGAAAGAATCACCAGTTTCGCAGTACGTTGGGAGCGATTAGACTGACGTGATTGATTTCTAGCTGCCCTTGAGAGGAGCCCCTCCTCGCTCTCCTCTGCGTGGATTCTCCCTCCTTATTTGCCTTCAATTGATCATAACAACTGCAATAAAACCCACTTCACCTTAATAAAAATGAACCAGGGAGACTCATTCTATATATTCCAACATCACTTGCGCAAGTGCTGATTATTGATCTGAAAACAGGCTATGCCGTAGCCTGGTAATATTTAGCTTCATTTTCCCTCTTCAAGTTTCAGTAACAGCCACCATTGCTCACAATGGAATTGCTCTAGCAGAACGATATGCTAGGGGACAGGCCAGAAAACCTCTCTTGGGTCAACAGTTCATCATGATGAAAATTGCAGAGGCCCAAGCATGCTCACTGAGCAGTTAACAACTGATGCTTTTCTCCCCAATATATCATATGCATCAGGCTCGCTGACGCTCATGGTTAAATTCAATTTCATCAGTATAGCTGATAATTATGGTATTGAACAATTGATTTTGCATAACCACGTAACCAAAGCTGATTTGGCTGTCATTACCGTGAAAGGGAAAATGACAGTGGTTGCAGCTGAGTGTCACATACCCCTAAAGAACTGTTACGGAAGGCAAAACTCAAAAGCATCTAATTCTTTCCAGATGAGCAGTTTTGCCAGCTCTTCATTGTGAAGTGAGGAGATATCTTGGAAGTGACAGCAAAGTGACACCAGGGCCATGGCTCCCTTTACTTTCATTCCGCGAAGTCCATCCTCTTCAAAGCTCAAAGTTTATGGGTTGATGAGGTCATTTTGCCAAGGGCACAGACCTCAGAGCTGTTCTGAGATGGGGACATCAAGCTGTGTGTCCTGCCTCTTATTTCACTGTGAACAAGAAACGCTGTAATATTCCGCCTATTCTATGGAGGTTTACTGACTGCCCTATGTCTCAAGTGCTCAGCAAGGGGCTGCGGGTTTGTGTGATTTGTATACACCTTGTTTCCATTTGTGTTTGCAAGTGTCTCGGTGATGTTTCCTGGGGTAGGTATTTCACTGTCAGCTAGATTTCTGCTCGACTCCATGGCTGTCACTATGCATTATTGTGTCATCTATGTTCTCACCATAAACCACAGACTGAGGGGAGCAACTTCACAGTTGAAATTCTGGGTGCCATAACCTTCCAGTGGGGAGTATTATTGGGCGATCCAGAGCAGGGGCTGGCCCTCACCCTACACTGCTGGGCAGACTCAGCAAAAATATTGGGGAGTAAGATTTTGGCTGGTAATCCCATGCAAATGCATGCTGATTGAAGAACATTTAGAAATTACAGACATTGTACAAAAGAACAAAAAGATAAAAAGTGTTCACACTCATTTAAAGATAACCACTGTTACTATTTTTGCTACTTTCATATTTACTCTGTACATTCACATGTGACGCACACACAGGCACATAACACACATATACTCACGAAAATGGAGATGTACGATTTTATAGCTTAAATTTAATTAAAAAGATACTGTGAATATGTATCAGCCTTTTCCTTTAAGCACCTATCATGTGCCAGGCACTATTCGGGGCATGATGATTTGTGGACAAAAAGGCAAATTCCAGATTTCACAGGGGTACTAATTCTCTTGGGGCTATAAAGACAACAGAAAATAAAGAAATGAACAAGGAAATATGATGAAAACACAATAGGCTGATGTAAGAGATGAAGCTTGGGAGAAGCTTTTGTTTGGATGGGCAGAGGGGGCCTCCTTCAGAAAATGACATTAAACAGTGAATTGAATGACAAAACCAGGGGCGGGAACCTTTTCATGTTGGAAAGCCATATTATTTAGCTGTAATCAAATAAGGCCTCATTCAAGAAACTTCAATTAGATATACTTAAAAATGTACACTATTTTTTTTTTGAGACAGAGTCTTGCTTTGTTGCCCAGGTTAGAGTATGTGCCATGGCGTCAGCCTAGCTCACAGCAACCTCAATCTCCTGGGCTCAAGCAATCCTGCTGCCTCAGCCTCCCGAGTAGCTGGGACTACAGGCATGCGCCACCATGCCCGGCTAATTTTTTCTATATATATTAGTTGGCCAATTAATGTCTTTCTATTTATAGTAGAGACGGGGTCTTGCTCTTGCTCAGGCTGGTTTCAAACTCCTGACCTTGAGCAATCCGCCTGCCTTGGCCTCCCAGAGTGCTAGGATTACAGGCGTGAGCCACCGCGCCCGGCCAAAATGTACACTATTTTGTAAAAATCTAACTACTATGTATTTAATAATTTCAAAAACTAAAAATTCTTTTTCTCTTTTTTTTTAAGGCTGGTCAAGTGAAGCAGTGGGAGTGGAGAAGGAACAAAGGAATCTGTAACTGGTTGTGATCAATTAGCTGTAAACACCAGTGTAAACATCTCAGACCAACCAAAAACTATTTTTTAACTTTAAAGTTAATTAACCTTTTAATGACTTTGTTGTGTCTGCTTTTTGTTGGAAGGCATTTGAAGATATTTGGTTGCAGCATGGAGGTCTGCAGTTTCAGTGGATCCTCTAGATGGGTATCAGTCATTTGTGACCTAAGTGCATCTTGATTTGGGTTAGGTAGGAGAATGTAGATTCACAGCAGTAAGTGGTTGAAAAGCAAGAAAGCATTTTTTGAGTATGTTCCCTAAGGCATGGGTATTCTTCTGCATTTTTCTTAGCATCAATGACTTTAAAATGTCACATACTGAGAGTTCAGTGAATTCCATCTGTAGTTCTTTAGGTGCCTTTGATGATATCAACTAGGTGAAGATGAAATGCTAATTTGAATGTGATGTTATGATTCTCAAAGTTAGTGAAACTTCCATTGTATTCTCCAATTAATATGTCTATAACAGCTATGTATTCTTCAAATGGTTTGCATATATCATCCTGCTCATCAGTGACCTTTGCTAACTGGGGAAAACATTCATCCAAAATTTCCTTTTGACGAGTGTTTTGAAAAAGGGTAGCTTGTTTTGGAAATACTTGGATATTTTTTTGCCACACACCATATATAGACTTAGTTTTATCTTGCAAAGAGACATTCAAGTAGTTTTGATTTGACATTATATCACACAGAAATGCTGCATTTGTATAGAAATCTTTCAATAATTCACATTGCTGATTCTGTTATTCCTAAAATTTAACTGTCTGTTCTTGCAGAGATAAAATTTTGGCTAACACCTATCGCTGCCGATAGCCAATGCACTTTAGAATGATATGGCAAATCCACACTGAATACCTCATCGTTCAACTTTAGCATGTTACAAAACTGACGATTCTGTGTTGTATTAGCATGAATATAGTTAACAATACTTATAACTTGTTGCAAAGTGTCACTTAAAATAGCAGCTTGAGCACAGAGATTTTGAAGATGCAAGATACAATGAAAAGAAATGAGAGCACCTAGATCTGTTAATACATTTTTTTTACTCTGTGCTATAAACCCTACATGTTTTCCTGTCATGGAAGGTGCACTGTCTGTATATACACTAAATTTACTAAATTCAGTCCAATTTCACCACATTTATCTTGAAAGCTGTTGGAAATATCTATTCCCCATTTTCTGTTCTCAAGAATGCCCCAAGTAAGTAACTAACTCTGTAGCAAAGACAATCTTCTGTTATGACCTGAATGAAGTATAAAACCTGTGCTGAGTCAGTAGCATCAGTTGATTCATTCAAAGCAATTGAATAATATATATTTTCAGAAGTGTTGCATGAAGTTGTGCTGTTAAATTGAAGGCTAATTCATGCTGCTGATCAGTTATGGCTCTCCTTGAAAGAGGCAGTTGTTTGTGCTTTGAAATTTTATTGGTGTCTAAGCATCCTCCAACTTCCACAATGCATCCTTTCACAATTTCTACACCATTGAATGGCTTCCTACCCCCTCCCCGCCAAGTATATAAGCTATTGTATAAGTTGCTTCAGTGGCATTATTTCCAGGTCTTATTGCTGCTTGAAAGAATTGTCTTTCCTTTTGCTTTTCATCTTTTAATTTCTGCAATATAAGCTTTCATGCCTCTCCTTCTAATTTAAAGTATTTGTGGTCCTTATAAGTGCTATAATCCTGGTAAGCATTGAATTTCTTTAATGTTGATATTGAAGTATCATAAATCAAACAAATCATCTTATCTTTAGCAGAAACAAGATAATATTGCAATTCTCAATCCTCATTAAAGAATTGATTTTCTTCCTTCAACGTTCTCTTGGTCTTCTTTGACATGATAGGCTGTTAAGCAGACAGAATTAAAAAATACTGTTGAGCTGTGCAACTATTCACAAATTCCACTTCAAATAGAAACACAGTGCACTGTTGTCAAAAGCTGATAGCAGACTGGCAAACTCAATCCCTATTGACTCTTGTCAACTAGCCTGTGTGATAGTGGCACCAGTCAGGTGGGGGAAGTTAGAACTAAATCATGAACATAGCAGCCATCTACTTAGCTCTTATGGCTTACTAATGTTCTAATTGTGCAGTCAATCTGGGTGGATTATTTCATTGACATTTATTTAATCTTTGGTATATATGTAAACCATGGAGCACTACTCAGCCATAAAAAAAAAAAGGAGATCTAGTATCTTTTGTAATAACCTGAATGGAACTGGAGGCCATTCTTCTTAGAGAAGTATGGCAAGAATGGAAAAACAAATACCACATGTACTCAATATTAAATTGAAACAAATGGATCAATTCTTATGGGCACATATGAAAGTAAAATGCAAGGGAAATCAAGTAGGTGGGAGAGGGGAGGAGGAGATGGGTAAATTTATACCTAACAGGTAAAATACAAACTGACTGGCTGAAGGGTACACTTATAACTTCAACTCAAACTGTACAAAAGCAAATTATGTAACCAAAATGCATGTAGCCCCTTAAAATTCTGAAATAAATACATAAATACATTCATTTAAAAATAAAATAATAAAAATATAAGAGATAAAAATATATTGATAAAAATGAAAGGATTTATTCTATAAAATTTGGATTCAGTCAAAAGACCACACTTAAAGATCTAGAAGGCCACATGTGGCCTTAAGGCCACAGGTTCCCCACCCCAGGGCAAAACAAACTGGCCACGGGAAGATTTGGGGAAGAGTGTTCTTGGCAGACAGAAAGAGGCCAGCTAGTGCAAAGGCTGAAAGATAGAAGCATCCAGGTAGGCGGGAGGGACAGAGTGAGTCGGGGGATAAAGGGTGGCGAGGAGAGAAGTGTAAGATAAGAATGGAGAGGGAGGCAAAGGACCAGCTATTTCCTACAGTGTTTTCTGTGTGTGGTTAAAGCCATTGGAGGATTTTAAACAAGGGAATAAGAGGAGTGGATTTGTACTAAAAAGAAGAAGAAAAGAAAAGAAAAAGAAGAAAAACACTCTAGTTACTGTGTGAGAATGGATTGCAGGGGAAGAGTGCAACTAGGAATGTCACTAAAGAGTTCATTAAAGTGGTCCTTGAGAAAGATGATAATGGGTTAAACCAGGGAGTTCAAGCCATTACCCTAGAAAAGTTGATTCATATCATCTAGGAGCGTTAACTTATTCTGAAGGTAACTAATGTATTGGCAGAACCTAGCAGTAGGCCCTTGGGAAGAAGAAACCCCATATGAACCTTTGGATATTTTAATCAGGGAGGAGAAAACTCTATTAGCCACTAGGAAGGTTGGCTCTGGAAAAAGAGAGGGAGAGATGAAAAGATAATATGAGCAGAAAACAAGAAAAAGAGGGGAGGGGGAACCCAAGGGGAGAAATTAGAAAAATAGATGTCAAGTGGTGGTGATAAGTGGTAAGGCCATTAAAAATTTCTACTCACTGGCACCTGTGACAAAACTCATCTACTTCCTCCAGCATTCTGTCATTACTAGAAATTAGCTAATTGTTAGGAATTCGCAAAAAAAAAAGATGGAATCCGGTGGGTTATTAAAAGCTGTAAAGGCTGTATTGTCTGGACTGTAGTGGAATCTTATTAAAATATTAAAATAAGCAGCACAGGGTCTTGGGCAGGAGCAGTTATACAGAGTAACAAAACATCATTTCAAAATCACTTTCCTGATAATTACACATAAAGGGCTTGGTCTAGGCTCTATTTCATGCACTTAACTCTCAATTGAATCCAATTATAAGTAGAGAACCTGACTTTGATGCCTTCTCATAGTTTATTTTCACACCCTTTCTTCTAATCACTGCCCTCATTTGTCTTCATGTTTTTGGCTAGTGTGCTTCCCCATAGTGATGCAGGCGGGGGCGGAGGGGGGGGGTGAAAGAGAGAGAGAAAATCTAAGTGGCTGCCTGTTCACTCAGACAAATGTCTTCTAGGTGGGGAGTGTGTAGAAACCTTGTTTTGACTAAAATATTTGGATGGTAATAATTGGGAAAGTCTCATATTCATGAACTAATTGCTTAATGTAAGAGAGACCAGGAGTTGTGGAAAGACAGACATGATTTGAATCCTGTTTCCGAGATCTGCAGTGTGACCCAGTCAATTTATACAACCCCTCTCAGGGCCTTGGTTTTGTCATCTGCAAAATGGAGCTGGGATTACCTATCTTGCAGAGTATTATGAAGAATAGTTATGATCATTGTGAAAAGTGCCTTGCAGCCAACAACCATTCATTTTCTTTCCTTCATTGCTTTGTATTGATTGGTCTGTACCTGCGGTCCCCAACCCTTGGGCTGTGGACCAGTACCAGTCTGTGGCCTGTTAGGAACCGGGCCGCACAGCAGGAGGTGAGCTGCAGGGCGAGCAAGCAAAGCTTGGTCTGTATTTACAGCCGCTCCCCATGGCTTGCTTCGCCACATAAGCTCCACCTCCTGTCAGATCCGCTGTGGCATTAGATTCTCATAGAAGCACAAACCCTACTATTAACTGTGCATGTGAGGGATCTAGGTTGCGTGCTCCTTATGAGAATGTAATGCCTGATGATCTGAGGTGGAGCTGAGGCGGTGATGCTAGTGCTGGGGAGCAGCTGCAAATACAGATTGTCATTAGCAGAGAGGTTTGACTGCACAATAAATGTAATCTGCTTGAATCATCCAGAAACCATCTCCCCCTCCCCCAGTCCATGGAAAAATTGTCTCCATGAAACCAGTTCCTGGTGCCAAAAAGGTTGGGGACCGCTGGTCTATACAACCAATATAACACTCCTTCCCTGAAACCTATTTGTGGGTAGACACGTCTACATCATGTACAGACCAAAACACCGTGTGGCTTCTCTCTCGGCCATCACCCGTTTTCCTGTCCACTATACCCTGCTGCCATCCATTGGTGGATGAAGCTTTGAGATTTCAAGCTGTCAACCCATCAGGCCACAGTTTGGACCTGGTTAGGGCCACGTAGTATGTAAACAATGACACCACTTAAAATATTTTTCATCCTTCATCTTGATGGATGCTTTTGTGTTTCACATTTGTCCTTTGAGGAAGGAGAAGGAAACTAATAGCTCCTCCAGGTGACAGGTAATTATACACCAAGAGCT